ACCATCAATATCCAAATATTACTGCCAAACATTTCCTCAATGAGTGGTTCTTCAAACCAAGATCCCTCAACAAAACCCACAAATATTATGAACTTATCCTCACAAAAACTGGATCAGTCACCTTTTTCCACAAATTTGATCCTTCAGACAAAACACTCAATACAATACCCACTCAACCTGCAAAATCTACCAAATTATCCACCCTCGCCAATGGCCTACTAGCCCAAACACCAACAAAAAATTCCCTGCTACTATTGCTTTTAACCACCCGCAAATCTGCCAATCCTTCAATTACTGGGATTATCATGAAGCTTGGATTAATGCCTTCTTCAAGCAAAACCATATGTACCGACACTCCTGGAGTTTTTTCTGGGATTACAAAACTCCCATTATTTTCCCCAACTGGTTTATGCACTGGTGGGATCTTTTTGGACCAACTGAAAATATCTATCCAGCTGAGATACAAGAGGGATATCAAACCTTCTGTCAAAAATATTCTGGTTCAGGATTACCCCTCCTTAAATTTTGTTACTACATCAAAGTTCCTTGGATTACAGCCTGAGAATTCAGTTACCAAACCTGTGCCGTCACAAAGGTACCCATGTTAGGCCGCAGTTTCAAAACCAAATATTGGGCTGAAAATCCTCGCCCAGAACAAGCCTACAAACCTCAAGTCCTCCAATGGTTCAATAACAATCCTGAACTGTCCAAAGTTATCGAAAAATCCTCAATGCAATTTTTGCAATCAAAATCCTCAATCAGCGCTCTCTTAGCTGGCGCCAAGGCTGAAGAAGAATACTTCTAAATTCTCAAAGATGTGGCGTCTAGCTCAACATCTGACATAGATTCCACGTTCCAAAACCATGACCCGGATGAAGAAGTGTCTGGTCCTTTGCCAACAAAGAGCACTAAGTTGAAGACAAAGAAGAAGTGACCCCATTGCTTCTTCCACTATCATAAAGACAAAGAAGAAGTGAATCCACTTCCAACCCACTATCCTCAAAAACAAAGAAGAAGTGACTCCACTTCCAACCCACTATCCTCAAAAACAAAGAAGAAGTGACTCCACTTCCAGCCCACTCAATTTGGTTATGGAAAGAAGACTACAAATTATCTATTTTTCTTTATATTAAAAATGTAATTTTGTTATGACATGTGACATAATCATATAAGTGTCCACATTGTCATCATTATGTTTTTCAATTTATTTACCAAAAGGGGACTCCATTTCTCTATAAAAGGAGACTCTCTTCACTTGTTGTAGTAGAGTTGTTTTGAGTGGGAATTGCTCTCATGCAAAGCTTTGTCCCATCATCTTCTCTCAAGAATTCTTGTGTAAGAAGTCTATCAAACTATCAAGTTTTACTTCATCTTTTTCAAATAATCTTCAACTTTTATTTATTTCGTGCATAACTGGTCATCTCCAGTATTTATTTTATGCAAAACTGGTCATCTCCAGTATTTATCTTATGCTAATCTGGTCATCTCCAGTATTTACTTTTTGCTAATCTGGTCATCTCCAGTATTTACTTTTTGCTAATCTGGTCATTTCAAGTATCATTTACTTTACAAACTATTTTCAAGTTAATCTCTTGTTGGATGTCTCATTCCGTCTTTACTGGTATCAGAGCCTGGGGGAAAGGGTTTGTCTAAAACTTCTTGCTTATTATTAGTTGAGAGATGGGTAACCCATGGTTAGATCCTAGCTGATAGTGGCGTTCAAATGGTTACCGTGGTCATAACCAAACCTATTAAGCCTAAATTTCATTAACCATGGAATAAAATTTCTTAACCAAACCGTCCAAATTAACACGAAAACCAAATTAACCAAACCAAAGTTTAATTGGTTTGGTTAATCGGATAATTGGATTAACCAAATAACACAACATTACATGAAAACAGTTATCCTGTTAATGAATAAAATATAACCATATGTTATTACTATCATAAACTATCATTATATATAAGCAATAATAATAAGACTAACCATCCAAGATTACCATCATCATTCAAGTTAATTCATCATCTCTCCACCTAATATAGTTAGCTTACAACAAACCCTTAATATAAATATTAAATACATATCAATACCACTCATTAGTAAGTTAAAGCTCTCCTACAAAATACTTAAACTATACATAGTTTGAGGTGGTTGTCATGGTATTGTACGTAATCCTAAAGTCTAGTAGCTGTCCAAAATGTTTGGTTTAGAAAATAGGCAGACCCATTTAATTTTTGACCCATAATGTTTTGGTTTGTTGTGAACATGGAAATAAAATAGGGAATCACGAAAGTTTGGTTTGGTTGGTTACATGGAAGTATAAATAATTTTATATATTACGTGTATCATTAATTGGTTTCATTGGTTAGCAGTGTTGAAACCAAACCAAACCACCTAAACCAAATAAGCTAAATTATTTAACCAAACCAAACCAATTATCCAAATTAACCAAACCAAATTAACCGAATGCTACCTGTTAATATGGTTACCATGGTAACCAATCCGTTTGAACACCCCTACTAGCTGAGTCCTTTGTGAGAGAGTTGTAAGACCGTCTTTGGCCGTTAATCTATCTCACCTGTAAGTTAGATCGAGCCTTTGTTTACCTTCTTTCCTCTAGTCATGAGTTTGATTTTTAGACCTTCCTCTTCTTCTTCTTCTGACATCACCGGGAACCGTGTGCTCAAACAAGAAGAAATTAATTTTGAAACTGTTAGTAAAGAAATTGATAATTGGCAAATTCCTAGGATTTCCCAAAAAGAAATTTATGAGCGGAGCAAATTTAATTTCCTTGATAAAATGGATTATACCATCTAAACCGTCAATTTCTGCACTTTTTCCATTTTATTCTTCTTATTAATTTTTTTCTCTCTTACCAATAATTGAACCCGTGTTATCTAAATGTAAAACAACCTACTTAACCAATTAGGCTACACTAATTTTATCCAAAACTCTATTGACTCACAACCCAAATCAAGTATAATTTGTACTATATAGAATCATGTATATGTATAAGTTAAATTTATACAATAAGATATAGGTACAAGTTTAATTTGGCCATTGAGGTGTAGGTACAAGTTCAATTGAACTTTTACCATACGATATATGTACAATTCAATTTGATCATGAAAGTATATATACAAACTCAATTTGACCATTAGTGTATAGGTACAAGTTCAAGTTGACCATTAAGGTATATGTACAAGCTCAATTTGATCATTAATGTATATATACACTCTCAATTTGACCATTATTAGTGTATATGTACAAGTTTCAATGTGAGCATTAAGGTATACGTACAAGTTTAACTGATCCTTTACCATAAGGTATACGTACAAGTTCAGTTTGGCCATTAAGGTACAGTAAAGCCTCTTTAAATTAATATAGTTGGGACCGTGAAAATTATTAATTCGTCTCTACTTGTGTTTGGGAGTTGAGATTGGGTTGCAGGGTCGTATTGGAGTGGTGGCGGAGTGGGAGGAGTGTGGTGGTGGGTGAGAGCTGGCGAAGAATCTGGATATGCTTTTCGAGCCTCTTGCGTATGGGGAAACAAGGGTCGGAGTCTCTTGTCTTATCTGATTGAGGATCCATTTGTCAAAAATTCACCAAGTCTGCTCCAGAATCCAGATCTACAATACGTCTTAGCCCAACCTTCGTTTTCTAGCTTGATTCATGACATGAATCTGCTTAACCATCTCCAGTCGCAATGAATCCCTTCGAAAATGACGACACAATCAACACCAACGCGCTCTCGATCTCTTTATCCCTCTGAAGGGTCTTCCCACGAAGTGATTCCCAACTGAAAAGCGGAGGCGGGGGTGGAATTAGTTTGGTACTAGTTAAATTGAACCTTTACCATAAGGTATATTTATAAGTTCAATTTTTCTATTAGTGTATAGGCACAAGTTCAATTTTACCATTAAGGTATACATACAAGTTTAATTGAACTTTTACCATAATGTATATGTACAAGTTCAATTTGACCATTAACTTATATAAACAAGTTCAATTTGATTCCATAATTTTGGCTCCAAAATTTCCCTCCACCAAAGGTTGAAACCAATATTCATAATAGCGAGAAGGAAAACATTTTTGCTCCGAAAAATGTGAAAAAGTAATGCCCTGTTTAGTAACCATTCCTATTCCTATTTTCTCAATCCATTTCATATATTTAGAAATGAAAACAAAAAATTGCGTTTACTTTCCATTATCATTCCATTAGTTTTCATTTGGGGAATCAAATAGTAGGAAAACAGTAGCAGTTTTGGGAAACATCATTTATTTGTTTCTTGGAAAGAAAACGGGCGGGTTTCTCCCCCTTCCTCATTAATGAGGTTAATGAGGTCCTCCTATCAAATCCAACAAACGCCCCATTATCAATTTATTATACACATCTTTCATTTGGACGGCAAAACCAACCCTAAACAGCCAAACCCTTTCCCCTTCTTCTCATCTTTTGTTCTTCTCTCAGCCGCATTCACTTCTCACCACCGCAACCAGCCTCGTCTCTTCGAGGTGGTGAAATAGCTGACAAGTTGTGGAATGATTTTCAAGCAGAAATTATTTGATGTTATCTTTGATATTGTAGTTGTACTTCTTAAAATATTGGTTGATGTACTATTGTTTTGTTTATCTGATTAAAACATGATTCCTATTGAAAATAGATATCAGTTTGTAACAATCATATCTAAACAAGTTTTCATTTTCAGGTTTCAGTTTCAGAACCCTCTAGGTTCCCAAATCCCAACTAAATAAGTTGTCTTCATATTTTGTTTCTCAGCAAATGACAGATTCCTTTTTCTCAGATTCCCTTTTCTGTTGTAAAAAATCAGAAAACAGAATGAATACTACGGGGCATAAGTTTTCCTTTCTAAAGTTTCCCACCTACTGAAATTGAACGGAAGTTTGGAACTGAAAAGCCGCACCACCGAGCCTACCTAGTACAATTTATTCCCTTCGTTGTCCTAATTTGAGATTTACTAAAAAAGGATACATCTCACTCATACACTCTTCGCTCTGCCGCCTCGTCACTCTCCCTCCAGTCGTTGATTTGAGGCCACTTGCAGGCCACAACCCGCTCCCCATTTCGACACCCAGATCCCTCCGCCCAACCCTGCTGACTGCTGTCGTTGACTTCTGCTTCTGTAAATGACACCGCCAACCATGTTTTCCAGTCCCATGAAGAATGAATCGAGCGACCGGTCACCACTTTTCTTCATCTGAAAAAGCAACGAAAGTTGCCCCTGTTGTTGCTGGCCTTCGACAGTTTAGCTTCCCGGTTCAGCAGGGAACCTTCAGGCATCCCAGTTTGCCTTTCTTCTGCTCGGATTCCTGCACGCCTCCGAAAATTCCAGTTATCCTAGACCTGAGAATTATATCAAGGTTTGTGCTGTAAAATGATTGAAACTTTTTTCTCTCTTCTATTGTTTGGATTGTCATTTACCAAAATGTTTTGGGGCAAAATTTTCAGTCTGATTTGCGTATTCCTGAACTAATTTCTCTTTCTATCAGCTCCTTGACCCAGCTCTTGGTGCGACACAACCACTCCAAACCCTATGTCTGGTCGAAGGGAAGCAAGTTTGAGAAAGCTCAAGGCAGCAGGAACAACAGTGAATCTTAGGGCGTGGTTGTTGTAGAAGTTGATGTAGAAGAGAGGCTTGGTAGACCTGCTAGAGCTAGAATCAACAAGGTCAGTGGCGAATGCTTGACCATTTAATCAGCTTGTTTTGTTGGGTATACACTCATCTTTGTGGTTTATAAATTAGGGTAAGACTGGACCTTTTGTGGGAACTGTGATTAGCCTAACAAAATTCTAATGATTTGGAGTGCTGATCCATACTTTATGAACATCTACGAGGAAGGCAATCAGGCTAGGAAGAAGGTTCTGAAATCAAGATCATTTGTTGGTCATCTCCAGGTTCAAGTTGTTACGAGTCTTTTGGTATGTGAACTCTGAACAGAGGGATGCATCCGTCTCTACGCTGGTTTTGAATTGACTGTATGCAAGTTAATTGTGACTTTGAACTCATAATTTTTTGGCTTATTTTGTAGGATAAGAGATATAACTGATGAGGAAGATGCAAGTATGGTGAAGGAAGCCATAATATAGGACTTTGCATCAGGATATTGTGGGGTGAACTCTCATGAGCTTCTTTTAGATCTATTATAGCTACGAGAGGGTGGAGAACATGGGTTTACATTAGATCGAAGACGGAAATGGTGGAGAAGATAGCGAAGAACATGTTTGTTGATTTTGCTTTTTGATCAGTTTTGATGGCGAGTGAAAGAAAACAGAGGGGGCAGCCAGCCACTCACCCTGGTGATGGCGAGTCGAAACCAGGGATTCAATGGTGATGATGACAGTCTAGGCGGAAGCAGTAGCGGCAAAGATTTGGGTTTCTTTGGTAGAGTTAGCCTCTTCTAGAGTTGGGCTTTATTAGTGTTAGTTCAATTGGGCTCTGTTTCCAAGAGTTGGCATAGTTGGGTTTTGTTTGAGTTTAATTTTTTATGAGTACAATTATGTTAATAATGTATTAAAAGTTTTATGCAATAAAATTTAGTGTTAATACTCTCATTCTTATACAAATTGATCGAAAAAGATCAAAGGGTATTTTTTCAAATGCAAATTTGTCCCATTTAATGAAGGTTTTTCTATTCCACATTGTTGTAAAAAAATAAAAAGGCTATTTTGGGAAGAGAAATTCCATATTTTTAACGAAATAAGTTCCATCATAAATAATTTTATTATCGAGGAATTGTTTTTGTGGATGTCACACCCTCGTCGAAAATAATCAAAGGGTATTTTTGGAATTGAAATTTTGATTTCATTTGCACAATTTTTCTACGAGGCACTCTAGTCATAAAAAAGTTAGAGGGTATTTCGGAAAAAAAAGTATTCGTTTCTGATGACATTTCTTCGTAATTAAAAAAAATCTCCCTCACAAATAAACTTCGTCAATTTTCAGCATCAAGTATATTATCGGGTCGTTTGGATGCATCATTTTGGTTCTATGGTATTTCGAATCCAAATGATGCATTATTTTGCTATGTGGCATTTCATGTGGTATTTCATTTTGAAATGTGGTAATTGGTGTAATTGTCTTGTTTGGATAAAACATTCAAATATTGTGGTATTTCACCACTTAAAGAAGGGATGAAGTGGGAAAAGAAGTTGAGAGATGAGGTATTTGAAATAACTAGGGGGTGGATAGGTATTTCAAATAATTCACAATGAGTTATTTCAATTGACTCATGGACAAAATACCACATTCTACTTTATTTTTGCCAAACGAGTTATTTTGATTGAAATACCTCATTCTGAGTTATTTCGACTAAATTACTTCATCAAAATACTGCATCCAAACGACCCGTAAGTTATTTCTGACAACGATATTTTGGTTACCGACGAAGAAATTTTTGTCACAAAAAAGTTTTTCTAACGCCCTTACTTTTTAGACCTTTTCCGATGGGACTTTTTCCCATGACGAACAACAACTTTATTTCGTCGTAAAAGGTCGTTTTCAACGAAAAATTATATTTTTCGACGCCAATCGTCTGGTCATACCTGACTGTCTTTTTTGTAGTGTATTCATTGCTCCAAAGAACGTGATCCACAAGATCGAGAAAGTACAGAGAACGTTTATTTGGGAGGGAAACTCGGAGCATCGCAAGATGCACCTTGTAGCTTGGGATCGCTGCAAAACACCAAAGAAATGGGGCGGCCTGGGTATAATGGACCTTGAACTATAGAACAAGGCGTTGGTGTGCAAGTGGCCCTGGAAATTTGCACAAGAGGAAGACACCTGGTGGAAGAATCTGATCAAAGCAAAATTTTCAGGGGGTGGAACTCGATGGCTTAGTTGTGGGATCTTGGGTGGGGCTGGCTGCAGTGCTTGGAGTCAAATTGTTAAAGTAAAAACAGACTTCTGGAAATTCGCACAGTTCAAACCGGGCACGGGAAAAGCGAATTCCTTTTGATTGGATCACTGGAGGGGCGATCAGACACTCGCAGAGACCTTCCCAAGAATGGCGGCTGCTGCTGTTTCCCCTGGCTTCTATTTGCGACCTCCTTCATTTATCTAACGAGAGCGTATTCTGGAAAATTCCTTTTAAAACCTCTTTTAGAGGTGGTGCTGAGAGATAAATGGAGAGATTTTTTGTTATCTTAATACTATCGGACCATCTCTTTTCTCTGCATGTCCGAATTCATTGGTATCGCAGCTTGCGGATAAGTTCAGCATGAATTCCATGTACATCTTCCTTGCAAAGGAAAGGTACCCGGAATCAGAAGACTATCTGTTTAAGACGATTTGCCAGGCTTGGATCCCGTCCAAGGTCTGCACCTTCTTGTGGGTTATCCATCAACGAAAGATACTCATTCATGACTCCCTAAAGAAGAGAGGCTAGATCTTTCCCAGCATGTGCGTCATGTGCGCGGCTAGTGAAGAAGATGAAAGCCACTTGTTTCTACATTGCAGCTTCGCAACTAGAGTGTGGTCTATGCTCACCGCTTTCGTCCATTCAAACCGAGTTCTTGGAGATATAACACATGTGATCAACAATTGGCCCCGAAGAAAGCCAGCAAATCCGAAAGAGTGGTGCACATTGGTTCTTATTCATGCTTTGTGTTGGATTATATGGAAGAAAAGAAACCGTAGGACTTTCGATGGAGTGGCCAGTCGCACAATGGCTAACAACAGCTGACAAAGTGGATATAGGAGTTGTTGAGAAATAGCTCCTAAAAAGTAGAACAATTGGCGAAAGGGACTAAGTTAAGCAGGTTTGCAAGGAAGACTCTGTTTTGATTCTTGTTTATTCCTGGGCTGCTGCTGTTTCTTCTTTCTTTCTTGGCTCCTGCAGCTTGCTGGGGTTTGGATCTCTGGTTTGGGACCCGGACTGATGTTTGTCTGCTTTTGTCTCGGTTGTAATTTTAAACAAGGCCAACAACTGGTCCAAGGTCTTTGTTCGACGATCTGCATCAGCTGTAGCATCAACATCTGTAGCAAACTCAATTGGCAAGGATTCAACAACTTCGTGTTTTTCAGCAAACCTAGCACAGATGCAAGCAATATGAATTTGACAACATAGTAGTCTGTGCAAATAATGCACCACCCAAACAGGCCTCACAAAATCGACAACAACCCACTACCAACTTACCTAGATGCAAGATAATAGGCTTTTGGTACAGGAGGGTTGACTGCTATGCATGTAGCGGCTGAACTCGACATGACATAATCATCTGAAAAGAAGAGCAAAAGACAGCATAAAACTGTAATACTGTAATACACTAATAGACCTCACATAACCCCGTAAAAGATGCATGCACTCAGGAAAAAATAACACACCTCCTAACTTGTTAACCATCAGGCCGCCAAATGCAAGAATCACAACTTCAATCGAGTCAACCTGAGTGAGAGCAACATGATCCAACACTGCGGAAAACTCATCCCAGAGTGTAATCGTGAACTTCGCTCCACTGGGAAAGAATACAAGGATACGTAAGGGAAGCAAAGAACAAACACGATACACACGATCAGACTTAGAAACCCAGAAAAAAGTAAAAACCTTTCATCCTCAATGATAACCGTCTGCTTGACTGCGGGGCCGTTGTTCGTGATCTTGTGCGATATCCCACTGATTGAATGGAGTCGGCCAACGACATCTACGAAAATAGAATGGAGGCAAAATTTTAGGAAACAAACAAAAAGCATATATGTAAAGTTAATTAAGAAAATAAACCTACTGACCTGTCAAGTGATGATGGTTACCAGCACGCATATTTAACGAGGAGAAAGGCACAAACTTGTAAGCATCAACCGGGAAACTCTCAGCAGGAAGAACACAGTCCTGGAAAGAAGTCGAAGGCGAAAGCCCCAATGCCAAATTAAAGGAACACGGCTGATACTGATTCGCCGGGTTGCTCAGGCCAAAGGACTTTATGACGTATATCTTGCCAACATAGAGGTTACGACGAATCCCAGCTGCCATTGAAGTTGGCGAGACGCCATGAATCAGCGTGCCCTGTGGAAAGCAAACCACCCTGGATTAAGAACAAAATAAAGGGGCAATGACAAACCAGAGTACAAAAGGGAAGGCGGGAAGGCATGAAAACTAACCGTTTCGTCAGCCCAAAGAGTACATTAATTGTAGATCCTGATATCTCCTGGAGACTTCGCCGGCCAGACATGCAGCAGTCGAAGTCGTAGAGAAACGCTCGCATTGTGGAGACCTCCGAGATTACAAAGCAATGTGAATTCCATGTTTCTAAGATGAAGAGCAGTGAAGAGAGAGAAAACAATGCTTGGAAAGTGAGCAGAATGACAAAGCCGAAGATTTGGCGGAAAGAAACAGTATAAAAAAGAGGGGAAGAATTAGCAGACGCAAGTGCGGTGTGTGTCAGGTACCGGTCCAATCGCAAAGAGTAGCGCAAGAGAGGGGAAACAATATTTGCAAAGATATGAGGATGACGCAAGTCGAAGAATAGCTGGAAAGAAAGAGCATAAAAAGCGGCGAAGGAGTTGTAGACGCAAGAGCGGCGGGTGTCAGATACCAGCCCAAACGCAAAGAGAAACGATTCCCCCAAGGCACAAATGCAAATGCCCTTGTAAGGAAAGGCGCGCCCATCATTGCTTGGAGTTCGGAAGGGCAGGCACCAGTATCCACCACAAGAGAGAAAAGCAAAGAGAGACGTACAGAATGACAGGTGTAATGATTATCAGAAGGTCTCAGAGGGACTGAGGGAATAGTTGAGAGAAGTAGAGAAAGAAAATCAGTAAAGCAGAGAGAGAAGGGGAAATGAGTGCTCATTTGAGGGCAACTCGGCACTCACACCAACAACTCATCAGACAAAGCTGGCCCGGGGCTGGATAAACTCAACGACAGCCCAACCGATATCACCCCTTCCAAGCTAGACAAAGAGTGGCGGGCCCAACTGTAGACCAGGGACCAATTAGAGGAAGGTGAATAGTAATTCTGAGTCTAAATGAACAGGAATTTCGAGTCTAGGCCAACAGTAAACTCAGTCTTGGTGCACAGGAACCGTGTCTTTGCAAATAAAATTTTCTAACTTTATGCTTATTAATAAATCGATGTCACCATTATCAAACAAAAAAAAATGATAAGCCCACATTTAAAATGTTCATGTTGTATAAAATATCACAAGCAAAAAGTAGAGGATAGGCTATGAACATAAAATCATCATTATCATTAGTAATGACCTCCTGTAGTAGCAGAGGCAGCAGTATAAATGGAAGGGAAGAGCGTCAACATTGCATCAATTGTCTCTCAAGTCAATTAGGTATAAATTTTCTTAAAGTAAGGTTAGACTTGATGGTTCTTGGTAGTAAGGTTAGAATGTTTGTGGCAGCTTCCAAGAGCGAGTGTGTGGTGATAAAGAGTGTAAAATGGTACAAGAATTTCAGAACTCGGCTCTTGGTAGTAAGGTTAGAATTGATGGTTCCAAAATAAACAAAGATTTCCACGAAAAATTATGAAGGGTTCATAAATTAATATAAACTTATTAGTATGCATGCTACCTGTCGCAACCGCTCCTCCGAAATCGGGGGATCCATCGCGCGATTGCTCGGAGTCGCCATCGACCTTATTTTGTGGTGGATCGAACACCATTTGACCCTATTTCAACCATGGAGTCGAAAACGGGATTTGGTCTGCGAAATTTAGAGATTGTAGGTTCGGGAGTACGGTTACGTGTGGGGAAGTGTATTCACACCCCACAACGCCCCATAACGGGTACTACGTGAATCGATAAGTTTTATTTTTTAGAGATTGGGTGCAATATTAATTGGGATTTGTTTGTGTGTTTAAGCGCAACATTCGATTATTTTTTAGTATGAGTATAAATTGTTAGAGTCCTATTGGACGATGTTATTGGTATAAACTTGAATTTAAAGTTACCGGTTTTCACGTCTATTGACGTAAAAAGTTTTTTAGATTGGTTGTACTCGAACCTATCGGTTGCCTACGTACCCGGGTTAACCGAGATCAAAGTCCACGTAGTTCGAAATGAAACTCTGATGATTTAGCAAGTAATTTTAACCACGTTCCACCGATCGTGGCTCTTGACTTTGATTCGTTTTAGGTATAATTTTTATCGCTTTCCCCTGAAAGTAATTTTTGCATTATAATTTTGTTAATGAAATTTAAGTTTATATCTTGCAAGGATTTTAGTATTTAGGAGGTAATTCGATGTATTGGACAAGAAACGAGATAAACTTAATCCGCATCTTAACATTTCGTATTAAGGTTATTAAATAATAAAATTGCATGGGAGGATCAAATTGACACATAATAGGCTAGCAGCCCAACTGGCTGAAGGCGTCTTAGGTTGAGTTCTACTCGAGAATGTGGGTTCGAAACCCGCTAGGGAGTCCTAAAGGTTCGATTTTTGTTTGCATGTTCGATTTCTTGGACTTTAGGGGTGCTGACTTTCCTTCTCTGATTTTTTGTTTCTGTTTGAGGGTAAGGGGAGGAAGAACGAAAGTTATCGACGGTCGTGGGTCTCGCTGTCGGCGAAGGAAGATCGACTGCCAGATGCGACGAAAGGGGATCTGGGTAAGTTTACTTTTGATATTTGAAATCGATGTCGGGTTTCTTTTTTATTTTTATTTTTATTTTTGGAATTTGGCTTTCTGTTGGGAGGAGACGGAGAGTCAACAGCGACGAGGGAGGATTGATTTCGTCGGCGATGACAAAATCGAAGGATAACAAAAGGTAGGCTTTGCGGATTTTTTTTTACTTTGATGCAACTCTCTTCGATTGTGCAACTACTGACTCTTCTTTCCTTATTTTTGCAGGTTTTGGAAACTGGCAGAGAGCTAGGTGAGGTTTTCCTAAACTCTGCTCGAAGTGGTTTGGGAGAAACACTAAAAAAAGTGGATTATGAGGTAGGTTTGAAAACGATTTACAGATCTGAGGTTTACTTGGAAATTTCTAATAAAAATCGATGGTTTTGAAACTCATAATCAATTCTAAATTTGGCCTTTCGGTTAACATACTAGTGTCTTTTGGTTAATATGGATTTGTTGAAATGGATGTGATTTTTGGGTATTTAGGAAAAATGAAAAATCTGTTTTTGGTGATCTCATCTATATTCTAGTTCTAGAAAATAAAGGGATCGAAATATGACATAAATAAAGGAATTGAAAAATGACAAAAAGTAAATAGCACAATTGGTAGCAAGTAGCAACAATACTACGTAATAAGAAGTCTAACTGACAAGTAGAAAGTCAGCTATTGTAGGTTAATATAATTAATAAAGTTAGTAAGCTTGAAATAAGTAAATAAGGGCACTGGAAATAAGAAAGCCAAATGAACAAGTTTGACAGTAAATATGGGATTGATTAGTTTAAATCACTCTTCTAAATCAATTTGGTCATGGTGAACTTTGATTAGAGCTGATTGATTTTTAAAAATATTGTGAAGAAAGATAAAGAAAGAGATGCTGATAATTGCAATAATAGAATGATATTGACAAAGAAGTAGTAGAGAAGAGATTAAATCAATAGTATATTATTATAACTGGAATATAAACCACCTTGTTGGCTCAATACAAACCTTGTTGGGCTTTTGTTTGCCTTGAGGTTTTCTACTTCTATTTGATAGAAGATACAGAAAGAAACAAATATTGTATTTCTCTTTCTATTTTCTCAGCACTTTCTCTCTCTGAACTTACTAAGAAGAAAAAGAGAGCTCTTAAAGAAAGAAAGAGCTCTGAACTCTGAAAGGAAGAAAAGACAGTATTTTCTCCAGTATTTCCCCTCCTGAAAGTTGTCCCCCGTTCTTGAAAATTGAGCCTGCTTTTATAGAAAAAGGAGGCGGTGGTTTCTGGGTTCGGTCGGACCAGTTTTGGTTCGATCGGTCCGTCTGTTGGTTGGGGTCATTGGGCTGGTTCTGATTGCTGGCCCATTTTGCCTGATCTGGTCCAAAGTGGTTTTAATGCTTGGGTTTGAAATGTGGGCTGTGATCTTTTGTACTTGTCTTGGATCTAGGCCTGAATAGACTGTCTCCTTTCTTCCTGCGGGATTATGACGGATGAAGTAAGAGTGCGCTTTAAATATCAAGTTTTAATTTGTAACACTACTTTTATAATGATGTTGTATAAGTGCAATTTTATGCAGTAATTCATATTTGTAATTTGTTATTCTGATTGTAATTGTAATTTAGTAATAATTTTAATAATAAGTTCTTCTTTATTATTATTATTATTATTATTACTATTATTATTATATTTGCGTTGTGCCAAAAGCCGAGATTGGATTTGATTTTACACCAACAATATCTGATCAAACGAAAGTCTCCTATTTGATCCACTAGAATCGAATCCAAATAAATTGTACGAAATGGCAACTCTAATTATCTTACGACATTTCGAGATTAAGTTAGAATTTTTAGTTGAGTAATTGACATGGACAAAATGGGGTATCTACAGTTGCCCCCCCTTTGTATATCTCTTTATGTAAAGAGTTATACAAAGTTACCGTATAGACACCACATTTTTTCAGTTCAGTGTAGGATTGTATTTTGTTGGTGACGTATTCTTCGGCGTTCGTCATCGCCAATTGTTACATTTTCCTTGATGATGACGTAAACGAAGCGCACGTGAACGCTAATTGATGAATTTATTTTGATTGTTAATTGTTTTATGCTTATTAGCATCGATGTAGTACTTTTCAGGCGCTCTCCAGCAGTGTACTTTTCAAACGCTCACCAGCGTTGGTGTCGTATTTTTCAAGCGCTCGCCAGCACCAGTGTACTTTTCG